GCCATCCTCATCCTCATTGAGGTAAGGGTACAAGGGAGTCCCCCAGAGACAGCCTGAGACCCAGCCCCTGGGCCCCACCCTCCAGTCTTTCTCAGCATCCCATCAGGACCGCCTACCTCACCCCTGACTTGGGGAGGCCCACCCAGACGGAACCCTCAGACCTTCCTTCCTGCTCCCAGCTCCCAGTGGGGCTCCTGGCTGGGACCCCCACCTCTCTCCACTGCCCTTCCCTCCTGGCTCAGCCCTGCAGAGCTGAGGGGCCTGAATATAGCGCCAGGCAGATTTGGGCTTGAAACAGCTGCCACCACTCTGTCCAGCTCGGGGTCATCCCCCCAGGACTGTGAAGCTGAAAGGGTACCAGCTAGAATCACGCAATGGGGTGGGCCAGACTTTGCCAACCCTGAGCTCTGTGCAGGGATGGTGGGGGAGGGGAGGTCATCCCCGTAACTGGCACTGATGGGAGGAAACCCCCCGCCGGCTGGAGTATCTGGGCCCCCTCCGTGGGGGCTCTGTCCCTGGTAACCCTTGAGCCAGGCCGTTAACCTGAGTGGGCTTTGCTGTGTGAACTCAGGCTGAGCCCTTTCCCTCTCTGGGCCTCAGTTTCCCCAGCTGTACACTGAAGAGTGGAACCAGCTTGGAGGTGGGTTCTAAATACTCATTAACCAAGATCCCCAGAAGGCACTGGCCAACTGCCCTCTGAACACCCCCACCCCAGGCCCTGGAGGTAGAGCCCCACCCCCAGGCTCCCCAGGACGGGGTGCTCGGCCTGACCTGCCTGCCTGGGTTCCCCAGTTCCTCTACAGCCCCGTCGTGCTGGAGGTGCTCCCCAAGCAGGCCGCCCTGGCCGTGCTGGCCCGAGGCCTGCAGGACCCCAGCCCTGAGGTCCGCGTGTGGAGCCTGCAGGGCCTGGGGAACGTCCTCTTCCACCCAGGAAAGGTAAGGGTGAAGGCAGCACTTGGTACCCACACGTCTCTCCAGCTGTCCCTCCAGGGGCCCCTCGGCACCTGCACTTGGCAGGCGCTGTGGGAATGGAGGAGGAGGGCTGGGCCTGGGGAGGGGGCCTAGGTCCCCGCTCACCCCCAAGTGCAGTGTGGGCCGGCAGCCAGAGCAGGGCCCCAGCAGACAGGCTGGCCACAAGCGCCCAGCCAGGGAGGCCGCCAGTGTGAGGCGGGCTGAGCCGGGTGGGCGTGGAGAAAGGCTCAGTGCCATGGCCCCACAGACCAGAGCAGCACCCTCTGCCAGACCCAGGATTGGTCCAAACGAGCTCATCGAAACCACCGGCCCCAAATGACTGTTTCTGCTGACTGGGTTTGCAGCTTTTCGGCTGTCTTTAACTTCACAGGCAAACACAAACTGCACTAATGGGGAACAGTGCCTGCGTTCGGGGGCCGGAGAACGGCTACATGGAAAAGAGCCAAATTAACCGCGACTTAAACAAGAGGCATCTCAGGGTGGCCCAAATGGCTAAGCACTTGGCTGCTAACCCAAAAGCTAGAGGTTTGAGTCCACCCAGAGGCACCTTGGAAGAAAGGCCTGGCAATCCACTTCCAAAAAGTCAGCCACTGAAAACCCTATGGAGCGCTGACACACACGCGGGCGCCATGAATCGGAATCAACTTGACGGCATCTGCTTGTTTTGCTTTTTTCCGGCCAATTGCTCTGAAATTTAGTCTCAGCCCCGCCTCTGAGCTCCAGCATGGGCATCTGACGGTCTGCTTGGATTCAAGTCTGCATCCCAAACTTAGCATGTCCAAAAGTGACTCCCCACTGCCCCCCAACCCACTCCTCCTGCAGCCTCCCCCAT